ATACCAAGATTTTCTAAATCCAGGGAATACGCAGGTTGTACATAGATAAATGGAAACTTGGATAAATGTTCCCTTTTCTTGTGAGCAAAATGGAATCAGATTTTTCGACTTTTATTTAATTTTCCATTTTTAGACGCAGATCTCCAATGCATAGTTTACAGTGCTTATGTAATTGGGCCAAGAGATGCATTTTGTGATATAATTGCAATGTTGTTTGCGTATGTAGCAAGTTTTGTGTCAGGTATATGTGGGACGTCATTTGTGAAGATATTGAACAAAACTGGATAAGTAACGACTCTTATCGTACTTCAGCCAGAAAAAGTAGTTTCGGAAAATAAGTTTCATTAATACGAATGACAAATTGTCTACCTATTAAGTAAAGTAGGTGTTGTTTTTGATAAAGTCTGGGAAACCCAAATTGATGAATATGCATATGAGCCCCCACCCCCCAGCCACACGAATTTTTCGTCATCGATTTCCGATGAACACGATTGGCCCTTTCGTTTGGAAAAAGAAAACAATGCAGTAGTCTCCTTGTTATCCTATTTCATTTTATTGTCTTCCGTTTCACTCTTTTACATTTCCGTCAAGAATTCTACCTTCTTCCATGAAGTTCTAATAATCATAGTTTCGTAAACTCTTAAAGCTATGCTTTAGTTAGAGCTTTCGGCTTGTTGCCACTTTGTTAATGATTTCCTTCGTTTGTTTTTGTTGTTTTCCAACACCTTGAAGAAGGTTTATTTTGTTTTCAGTTCTCGGGTTTAGCGTCTTGGCAAAATAAAAAGTATTACCGCTTGAAGGAGATATTTACTGCAAGTTTCAGAGCAAGTGAACTACTGAAATAAATTCTCAACTATATCTTGAATAATTATATTATGAGTTCACAGTACGCAAAGGGACGTTAATTTGCAACAAAATGTTATCAAAGGATTGTTTTATACTATTTAGTTTTGTCATTTTGTACAGTTTATTTTAAATATGAGATTTTACTTTTTATACCTTTTCTTTTCGGAAGATTGACTTTTAAGCAAATAAGTTTGTGGTAACTTATTGCTTAAAATTTTTTTCTGCAGTTAAATTGAAATCTATATTAATTTGCAATAAGATTTTACTTTTTATATCTTTTCTCTTCGGAAGATTGACTTTTAAATAAATAAGTTTGTGGTAACTGATTACTTAAAATTTTTTTCTGCAGTGAAATTGAAATCTATATTAATTTGCAATAAGATTTTACTTTTTATATCTTTCCTTTTCGGAAGATTGACTTTTAAACAAATAAGTTTGTGGTAACTGATTGCTTATTTTTTTTTCTGCAGTTAAATTGAAATCGATATTAATCTGCAATAGTGAACTCGAGCAATGTAAACGGAACGTGTTAACTATTGAATGAAGCCAAAGAGTTGGAAATATTTGGTGGCAGTGAGAGTTTGAACTGCAAATACAATAAATTACAAGTCGAAAAAAATTGCGATGTTTCATTGACGGAGAAAACGGTAATCTTTCAAGATTTATTAAACGATAAGCATCCGAAAATCTGCTCTCAAGAAAGTGTAAAATGGATGAAGTTACTAATGATACTTTACAGAATTATTTTGCAGTTCTATATATAATTGAAAAATTACTGAAACCTAATATTTCAAACTGTAAAATAATTCATCTGTGAAAGTAATCTAAATGTTCTCCATCAATTAAAATAAAAATATGTATACTTTTTAACTAAATAAAAAGCTTTAAATTAATAGTTAAATATTCAATACATATGTGAGATAAAATTATAAAATTCATTTGTCCTTAAATCTCCTTTTTAAGATTACTTTTCCTTTGTAATCTGAGAATACTAAAATGCTTAGAGTAAATCTTCCAAAATTAATCTCTGTCATTAGATTCTTAAAATCTTGAAATGCATCATCCTAAAATTAGTCAAGATTATATGGCTTTTATATATAATAAAAGAGGCACGCAAACTTATGCAATGGTCGCAGTGAAACAGAAATCTTTTACCAATAATAATTAAATCGAAACTTTAGGTAAACAGTAATAAATTGATGATAAGTCCATTTATTTAAAAACAGAATAACTTCACTATTCTTAATCTAACCAGTAGTAATGTAATCATCGTTATTTTAACTCCCGGCTCTTTCTTGCTCACATGTAATCAATTAACTCTTTTCATGACCTATTATAAAGCTGGAATACGGAAAGTATACGAGTGAACATCTGATACACACGCGTATTTCCGTTTTTATTGCTCAATTGTATTCATTATTCAACGACATTATACTTCAATAAAGATGACTGCCAGGGATATAGCATCACCTATCTTTCACAACACCTCTATCAATTCTGTTATTACATATTATACTCTTTTAATCTGGTTTATACATTCATAAATAACTGCTCTTTTAAAGAAAATACTCTAAAGTCACGCTAATAAATATTCAGCGTAACAGCGTAAACTTACTATTTAGACTTTTCTGATTTTATCAGAATTCATTCTGTGTAGTCACTGTTTTTTTTTTTTTTTTTTTTTTTTTTTTTTTTTTTTTGAAGCAGGATACGTGAAAAATATGCAGTGCCCTCGCCGGGACTCGAACTTGGACCTCTCGAATGCGCGTTGAGTGTGCTACCACGAAGGTATGCTGGGAGGAGGGAGAAAATACCCCGAAAAAGGACGACTGGGGATTAGAAAGACCAATCGTCAAATCCTGGTGGTGACGAATTATAGCCCACCACCTTTTTAGTTCGGGCACCACTGTACAGCTATTAAGTTGTTTTAAAGCAGGATATGTGAAAAATGTGCAGAGCCCTCGACGAAACTCGAACCCTGGACCTTACGAATACACGCCGAGTGTGCTACCGTTACAGCACTAAGACATGCTGGAAGGAGAGAGAAAATACCATATAAAGTGTTAGTAAAATTATTTTTAAGTTTTCATTTACTCTTTGCTTATATTTATTTTCATGCTAATATTTTTTCTAATCCTCATCACGTGTTACCGAAAGTATGAAATGCCACATAGTCAGCTGTCTTTCCTGCATGATGTTTCCTATGTAGAATGGCAGCGGAAGTCGCCGGCTTTGAGTGACGAGTGAATTGCAAATTAAGTTTGAAGTAAATGAATTGCAAATTAAATGGAACGCGGACGGAGTAAATTAAACTATTTATTTCTTCAGTCGATAACCACTTTAAGTTACTCCTACTTTGATTAATAGTTAATTGGGTTAAATTTAGGCTTTAAAGACAGCTGATTTTTATTTACCGTTACGTAGTGTTGCAAATGCGCGTAAAATATTCTGATAAAACGCGGATTAAGTATCATTTATTTATATCAATATTTACAATATTGATATTTTTAACTTAGATTTAATTATTCTTAACTTTCTAAACTGTAATTAATAAATGAGGATGTTAAATAACCGAAACTTTTAATCAGATTTTTTTTCTGTTTTAGAAGTTAAATGTTACTTCTATGAAAGTAACCTTAAAAAAGTAGAACGATTATATCATAAATAAAAAAATCATATTCATTTATTGCATTATGTTATTTTCTAGATGTCTGTACTGTAAATTCGAAAGTCTATTCCAACGACAAATTTCTCAAAATTACTTTTATCGCAGTCTTTCAAAAAAGTTTTTTATTGCTAAAATTAAAACAATGTTATAAACTCAGGAAGAAATCACATCAAAGGATTCATTCTCTATGATTTTGTGCGTATGAGTTTTATGGTTCTAAGAACTTAGAATCATTTTATTTGACCTATTTTTTTAATAGCAAGGTCAAATTGAGGTCATTTTAATTATTCAAATACAAAATTCAAATTGCGACTGCTGTGACAAATATCTAAATAAAAACTTCTATGAAAGCTTCTTTATGCGCTATCGAGGATCCGGATGTTTTAATTCATATCGTGGGGGTAAAACTTCTCACCGAATTGTCTGTTTTTCTTTCTTGAATAGGAATTTTGTTTCATTGACTTCAACAAAGATCTCATTCACCTTCGATAACACATGCGTAGATGTAGGCCAAGAACGTTTGGCTTGTTTTCAGGCATTTTAATGAAGAACCCATCTTTTAAGGTATATTATTTATAAGAGGATGTAGTGAAAGCGTTTTAAAAGATGTATTCTTTCACTATAATGTAAGTTTATTTTTAATCGAGTTGTTTATTCTTTACTTAAAACCAACCTGAAAACAAGCCAGTTTTTTAAACATGGTATAAGATATTTTTTATCTATATTAAAAGAACTGAATTCAGTAATAGAGAAAGCTTTGCTTCTGCGATGATATTTTAGATAAAATATAACAAGTTCTAAAGGCTCTTAAATTTTAAACTCGTTTTCCCGATATGGGAAGTGTTCTTTTGAAGTAATATCGGAATGTCACAGCTTGTATTATAAGATATTTCCCCCGCCTTCTTGGCGTGCCTTCGTGGTGTAGTGGTTTGCATGCTGGGCGCGTATTCCAGAGGCCCGTGGCTCGATTCCTGACGAAAGGGTTGCTTATTTTTCAAGTCTCCTGCTTCCAAAAAAATGCCTAATGTCTCTACAGTGGCGCCTGAACTAAAAAGGTGGTGGATAATGGTTCTGGACTATTTATCCCGGCTTCTTAGCGTGCCTTCGTGGTGTAGTGGTCTGCATACCAAAGGTCCGCTTATTCCAAAGGTCCGCAGTTCGATCCCGGCGAAGGCGTTGTTCATTTTTCAAGTCTTCTGCTTCCCAAAAAATACCTAATGTCTCTACAGTAAATTAGAAAGAACAAACTCCAGCAGAATTTTTCAGTCTTTTATAAATCTAAAAAGTACCCCCTTACGAATTTTTTTAAAACTTTTGGATTAATATTTAATTTCACATGTTTTAGTTTAGCAATCCTTGTCATTTTTTACTCTAGGAGGATTACTCTCAGTTCACTCGGTACAGTTCTAGTTAGCAATATACGCATCTGCCGTAATAGTTCATGGGAATGCTTATACGGTAACTCTGAAATGTAAAAAAATATTACCTGACCATACATCGAAATAGCATCCATCGGAATAAACATACTTGCTACAGCTCTCCTAACATTCCTGGAAGCAGTTGGAGAATGCCTCTTTAGGCAAGGTTCTACATTAGAAGGCTTTCTCTCCCAGACCCGAACGTTTTGAGCATGTAAGTTCTCTGATCCATAATCTGCTCTCGAAAAACTACTGCCTTAGGAAATTAAATGTAACTGGGCTTTCGTTTCTCCCAGTTCTATTAGTAAAGTGACGTCATTCAACTCGAACGTTGCGAAGAGTCTACCGTTGTCTGTCTACTGACCTTGTCTTTAAGTACTTGTCACGTATTAGGAGTTTCGTCGTTTGGTCAGTGCAGAATTTAAGTATAAAGCTACACAAGCTATAGCTTAGGGCCACCCAAAAATTAAAATATAGTATTAAAATATAGTACAGCAGACTTACAAAGGGTCTCATATCTCAAATAGCTTAGGGTCTTATTAAGTCTAAATCCGGCTCTGGTTTTAATTAGCTTTAATCACCTAAAAACGTTAGTTCCTTATAATCATCTTAATAATAATGAGTTTATGCAATGAGAAGTTGTGTTCATACAATGAAGAGTTCAAACAAGATAGTTGTGGCATAGCATGTCTCTGTTTTTCACTTTAAAAAAAGCAAAATGCATTGCTCAAATCCCCTTGCTCGAAATGCGACGTCGCTGCAAACGATCGAGAGATGCATTAAGTCCGTTCGCACTACAACATGAACTAAGGTGTCCTAGATAATATCATAGTGTACAATAATGTCATAGTGTACAATAATACAATAATGTATTAGTGTACATAGCGTACAATAATGTCATAGTGTACAATAATAGTGTGGATAATATCATAGTGTGTGATAGTATCATAGTGTACGTAGTGACACTTGAAATTAGATGTCAAAGTGTGTTACACTTTGACAGCTAATAATACACTTTGACAGCTAATAGATAAATGAAAAAAGATTATAGGTCATGTAGGATGATTGCTCCCCGGAAACTAATTAACGAAAAAAAACTAGGTCTTTCTAACGTAACGTAACGTAACGTGACAGTTAAAATTTCAAAAGACTCCCTTACAGATGTTTCTAACGTCGAAACTTTTATTCGCATTTCATAAGTCTATTCGCGTCATTTTACTGAAGAATATAGGGATCACTGTAAGATAACCAGATTTTGAAAACTTCAGGATTCCACAACAGTGTGGAATGTGCAATATTGAATGAAATATGAGTACTTTTTATGTCGTAATTTTCAAATAACAATAGGTTTATAGTTGAAAGTATGTACCTTACCTGCCCTTTACATCAAACGTGTTCATATAATTCTATTCGATTCGGATATTTATTAATGTCATTCATATGATAACGGCGAATTTTGCCTAAAACGTTCAGTAAAATGTTGATAGTAGACAAGCTACCATAAACCTTATTAGTATTTTGCTTGGCGAATTTCAGACACTCTGTTTGTAAAAGCTCACAATAGTAACTGATGCATGAAATGAAGCGGAAACTTGCTAGATTTTCTCACATTTTCAAATATGGTATGTATGTTCCGTTAATCACAAGACACACGTCCAAGCAGCAATCTAGTTCAATACATATATTTTGTAGCATGGTCCTGCAGGAACTTCGAATAACTTTTTTCTTAGGAGGTAGGTGTAAGCACAGTGTTTTTTACATATTCCTACTACCAGCGGTGCTGACAGATTTTAGAAAGCGCTTTCAGTGCTATTTGATGACCACTGACAGGAGAATGCTATGAATAATATGGACCAAACTCGATTATCATTTAATGTATTTTGCTTGGCGAATAGGTCATACGCAGAATATTTGCACAGAGTGAGAAAAACTTTATGTATGGATGAAATACGATTGTATGTTGTTTAAAAATACAGTGTTTTGAAATCTGGTAAATCTTTTATAGTAGACCAGTATTTTGATTTCACACTTTACGAAAGAAATTAGAGACGTTAGGTGCTATTAGTACTAACCCTACGATATAAACATTCTTAAAAGCTTCTTCTTCATGCAATTCCTTTGAAATTATAAGCAGTTTCGAATAATGGCGATAGCACACACTACAAGTACTCTGTATGGTGAAATGAAAACATTAGTATTTGTCAAGAGCTTCTCATTAGTATTTGTGAAGAGCTTCGCATGGCACCTACTTTTAGTTTCGACTACAACCGAAAAGCTTTTTAATGAATACTCCTTGTTTATTATACACAGATACTTGCCAATACAGGCAGATAAACTCGTTGCATTGATTCAACAGACTTTTTTTCTTCAGATCTTCATTAAGATTGACAGAAGAATGACAACTTTAAAGAAAGGATAATACAAATCGAATTAATTTTCGTCACCTCATATAGGCATGATCTATTATACCAAATGTCGAAAGAAAAAAGTTAATAACTAAGTTTATTCACTAGCATACTTCTTAACTATTAACATACGGGTAGTCACGCAAGCGTATACTCGAAAAACTGGTTTCGATGTCAAGAACATTTTCAAGGTAGATAAGAAGGACGAAAGTGAATAGATTCAGTACTAATATTCATTGCTTAACTACTTGGAAAGAATTTCTCTTTCTTTTTTGATGGCTTTTTGGGCTGGAATAACCAGACTTGTTTTCATTGGCTTAGCATAATTACCTCGCAAAGACTACGAATTTTTCAATCGTTTATCAAATGGATCCAATAAGATGAAATATCCTTTCAAGGGAAAAAAATGAGAACTCATATTGTTTCTATGTAAATTTTTTAAATGTAGTTTAGAAAATTTCTTCTCCAGTGGAGATCGTGTACAAGTTCCACGTATGTCTGATCCTTCGTGAAGGATGGAAGACCTTGAAGAAATGATGCCCAGTATTTAATCTTACTTGTGTTCTCAGAAGTACTTTCAGGGAAGTCGCCTTCTGAAAGCGGTCATCAAGAGACAATTTATAGTATTTCCTAGGAAAATTTAACAAATTCATAACAAATTTGAAAGCATTTTGTTCAGTGCTCGAAACACCTGGAGATTTAAGTAATAAAATATATTACGGAGGATCACATTATAAAATATTATTATTTAAACATCAATTCAAAACAACTTTAAAATTAGATAACATACATATGTAACAACAAACTTAATTCTTTCTTTAAATATTAAAACAAGTTATCATTTTTTCCTTATCATTTAATGGCTTTGCCCATTTTAGTGAAGCTAAGAAATGAAACATTTTCATGAGTCCTACAAAGAAATAACAGCATTTCTTTAGCAATTTATTGGAGCATTCAGAAATGTCTCATCGTTGTTAACTGTAGATCTCGGATAATATAAATCGGTATTGATTCAATATTTTAATACAAATAAGTGTTATGGTTTCAGAGCAGTTTATCTACTACTTTGTACAAGAAAATTTATCTCACATGAATAAATCATAATTATTCGGCATTCTGTAAATTATGGCATTTTCTAATTGTCTCTTTCATTGTTACACATTCTGACTTTTCGTAAAACTGTATATAAAGAGAGGAAAAACAGTTGAAGATAGAGAGCGAATTTTGATCTGAGAATCACCGAAATTTTGTGAAATTTTTCAAGATCGCCCTTGCGACGTGTAGTCTCACATTATCGTGGAAGAAGGTCGGGCGGCCGATATTAGATTGATCTCTTATTTAATATTGGTCGCTTGACTTTCAGCTTTTTGGTGGAAACATCTTACATATAAAATATGTTTTCGTAAAGATAATTACGAAAAAAAGATTACTGAATTACCCTTATCTGAGATTCTGTACAGAAATCACAACTTTCTTTGACTGAAAGTTATTTTCTGAAACGGATCCAGGAGGTTCATTCGTGTCTACCCATTGAATTCAGTTTTCAACTATTGTACATTGTCACATGGCATCACCTGTTTTAAAAAAGGGCCATATTAATTCTGAAGAAACGGCGAAGAGCAGTGTACAAAGCTTCTTCATTTGCTGCTGTGTTAACAGATGGAATACGCATTTTCCGCTGCATTAACACATGAAATGTTCATTTTCACAGATTCTTACGTTGTATGGAAATATTTCCATTCAAATGCTTGGCCATTCTCTAGATTTCTAGATCTATACTTCTTTGAGAAGTACATTCTCGATGCAGTTCTTCTTTAACGCTTGCAGGGGACTATTTCTACCGAAGACCAAAGACATCTTGAATAGTGCATAGTCAGGAAGGTTTCGCTATATAAAAATTATCGCCATTTTATTTCTATTTATTTTAGCTTTATAGATACAGACCACCCTGGTTGGAGTGATGATAAAAGGAATGGAATGTTATGTCACTGAGTACGTTATTTTTAGACATTTGTGACTGTGGCGTCTTCGCGAAATAAGGGCATTTAAAACCTGTCACCAAGAAAGTTCTTTTCAGAGACTGACGGCGAGCCAAATAGTTAACCAAGTTGTTACTGGTAATGAGTGAACTAATTATAACTAATCATAAATATGAGAATATAGTCAATTGTTTGAGAAAAACACCGGTAAACTGAAAAAAAAGAGGCCGAAGAAACCCTGGAAGAAAATAGCATTTAAGTGCAATGTGGCCCAAACTGTGGTAAATCCAGCTCGTGCTTTCAAGCACAAAAAATTTAATTAAGAAATGCGTTGTCATTTGACGTTCTCAAAAACGTTTCATATACAGGGCGGACATAAATAAAGAACCCTATTTCAAAGCTGCGTGCAAGCGAAACCAGTGATCAGAAAATTTTGAAATTTTGTGGCGAACTTTAATGAAGAGATGAGAATGTCATTCAGTGAAAAAAATTATTTGCAAGTAGCGTCAGCAAACAGCATTATATTAATAAATTATACATTTGTAATTGTTTTACGATTTTACAAATTTTGTTGTCAAAAAACGTGTTCCATATAATGGCCATCATTTTCATCTCCCATCTGAAATCGCAAGATGACATTTCCACAGATGACCAAAGTGTGTACTGGGAAATGTTGAGCACGTTGTGTGAAATACTGGCTTTAAGGTCAGATAAAGTTCTTGGCTTGTCCCGACTTACCAGATATTTCAAATCTCTCCAAAGCCAAAAATCGCATGGATTGAGG